TAGCTGACTCTAATTTGCCGTCTGAGTGAAGCATTCAAGTAAGTTTTAACGCACAAAAAAAGAAGCCACTTTCGCAGATGCATGATGCGTGGGCTAGGTGTTGTTGCAAAACACCGATAAGTTAGATAAGGTCCAAAGAAGGCGCGGCCCAAAGGCCAAAAGGACCATCATATTCTAGGCGAGATGAGACCACGTAACACATTATGCCACGTTTACTAGAGTTATGTATTGCTTACGTTGGGCTTTGTTTATTTGCTTACCACTACAGTATTCTTGTTGTAGTAGATCGAGATACCAATGCGAAAATGCGGCCCATGCAACACGAGTCACGAGTGAGATAACTTCCACTGACCCCAAGAAAAGACCTTAGGTCAGAACAGAATAAACGAAACATGAAAAGAAATGATTCGCAATTGAGCGGAAACACGTGACTAAGTTACAAAATGCTTCTGAGAAGACAAAAATGTGATCAGAAAAAAGAAGAAAAACAAGAAAGATAAATAAGAGGGCGCGGGGGGTCTCTCCGTCTTTCGTCTCGGTTAATCTAGTTGGCGTATATGATAGGCAAACAAACGCAATGGGAGACGCGACAAATAAGTGCGGTCGCACTTGAGGGCCAGTGAGGGTGCCATTAGAGCATGTGGGGCTTAATTAGGCATCCGACGGCCTTGAACTTCGAGGCATCACCCTACAGCACACCACAAAAAAGTACAATGCAAATTGAATTGTAGATTAACCGCTTGTGCGTGAAGTGACTCAACTCCCAATGAAGAGCCGCTCAAAATATTGACGTAACAGAGTAAAATAATGAAGAGGAAGTTACTCCACGCCACGGTAAAAACAATGTCTGTTTTTTTTTTTTTTTTTTTTTTTTTTTTTTTGAGGAAGCAGGCAAAACTTTGAGAACACCCATAGTTGAGGAAAATCTTCTCCGCTCGCTCTTCGAATTTTGAGGGGATCTTCTTAAAACAGGAGGGAAATTTACACATTATTTTGAGGAGACATCCTTAAAATTTGATAAGTTTTTCCTCACGTAGGGGAGTGAGCCTCAAAGTTTTGCGGTTTGTTTTTTTTTTCCAAAAAAATCAAGCATGGCTTTTACCGTGCGTCTTCCCACCCCTTCCTATTTCCACAAACAATGTCAACACTGGACAAGGGTCTGATTCTCGCCCGGCCGGGCGGTGGGGCCATGCCTCGTTCTGTGGTCTTCCCTCGTCCTCGTACCTGCTTCTCTCTCGCTCTCGCTCTCGTGGGTCGCCTCCCCGTCGCACTCGTGCTCGCGATACCGGCCCGGTGCCCGCCCGACCTGTTGCTCGTCGCGACTGACGTGATGTTCCCCGCGCCTGTCGCCGCACGGCCCGGCCCGCGGCCCGGCTCGGCTCCGTCACCCGCTCGGCTCGGCTCGGCTCGGCTCGTCTGTGCTCGGCCCGGCGGCCCGGGCTATCACATTCGCTAACAGGGCGGGGCCCCCCGGGCCCAGGGCGCGTCGCGGCGTAACGTGCCTGCCGCCCCCGCGCCGACCCCACGCCGCCCCCGCGCGCCACCGCCGCGCCTCCTTACCGGCACCCCGGTTGCGCGCGCACGAAGCAGGAGCCTGACACAGGACGAAGACGAAGGGGTGCGCCTCGGCTCGGGTCGGGGGTCGCCGACCGCCCCCCTGCCCCCCCCCAACCACTCACACGGCCACGTTGACTCGTGGTCTGGTCGGGACCCTCGCCACGCGCCAAAGGGTTTTGTTTACTACCCTGGCCATGTGGCTCACACGTCGAGCTCATGCGAGGGGAAAACGACTCTAGGATCTCGTGATTAGCTCGAGTAACCCGGATTACACTTGGAGTACCACCGGATAACCTCGGACTACCCTCGAATTACTCCGGCGGATTACCCCCGGCCGGGCTGACACAGCGGCGTGGCTAGTGGATTACCCGAGTCGTTTACCCCTCGAGCTCATGCCAGAGAGAAGCCTTCCCGACGCGCCACGAGGCCTCTTTAGAGGCGCCGGGCGTGCCATGTGGGCGCCACGCGGTCCTGGGCGCCAGGGCGACGGCGGGGAGCCCAGAGGATGCCGGGCCTCTGCGCGCCATCAGGACGGGTGAGGACCCGCGGCGCCACGAAGGACGGCGCGGCACTCGTAGCATCATGCACTGCCGTGCGATAGCAGATTGTTCTCTATCGGGTGGACGGAGGTATTTTGCCTAAAAGCACTTGTGTGCTGTGTTCACACATCACAGCGACTCATGCACATCATCTTTTGAAACAAGTGAGAATCAAGATGCCCTAAAGGCTTGGTTAAAAACCCTAACAAAAAAATAAAGACGTGGAGGGGAAAAGACGTTTGTTAAATTACCCTCACAATATGTGGATGCGATGCGAATTACTTTCAGCATCGCCAAATTCTTCCACAGAGTAGGGGAAGATAAGCAGCTTGGTGTGTTGAGCAAAATCCTCCGCTTGGAGCACTTTTTGATATGACGGTAGTTGATTATAACCTACTGTGCGTGGGTGTGAAATTATCTCCGCGCAAAAAATAATCCCCATGGTCTATAGATGAACTTACCGAATATACCTAATAATGAGAACGCAATGAAATAAGATGAAACAATGAAAAATGTACGTCGGCACGCATGGTGATGCAGAACCTAGTAGAGCGTGTTATATTTTGTTTTTCTAGGAGTTGCGGTGATCAACACCTGACGCATAGGGCGCGATAAGCCGTGTCATCGCGGTGTCATAAGGTACGGCCAGCCGCGGGCGGGGCCTTCGTGCCGCGGGGTCCTGGGCCACTATTCGCAGGGGGCCAGCCATACCTGTATGACATTTCAATCGGTCGCGCAGGCCGGCTGGCAGTCAGTTTGTGTGTATCGGGAGGCGCGATATCTCGTATCGCGGTGAAGGGGCGGAGGGGGG